CCCGGCTGCCGGGGACGGCCTTTCTCTGCTCTCCCTGAGCTTCTCGTCTCTGACTGCCTGAGCTTGGCACCTCAAACCCAGCTCTTGTCAGCGCCCAGCAGGGATGGCCGGCGGGTGGAGGTGGCTGCATCCAGCATCCTCTTCCTACTGATCCCAGGGCTGCCAGAGCCACCGGGCTGGGGTTAGCTGTGATGCTCCATCTCCACCCGGGGGGACGGCCTTTCTCTGCTCTCCCTGAGCTTCTCGTCTCTGACTGCCTGAGCTTGGCACCTCAAACCCAGCTCTTGTCAGCGCCCAGCAGGGATGGCCGGCGGGTGGAGGTGGCTGCATCCAGCATCCTCTTCCTACTGATCCCAGGGCTGCCAGAGCCACCGGGCTGGGGTTAGCTGTGATGCTCCATCTCCACCCGGGCTGGGGTTAGCTGTAATGCTCCATCTCCACCTGGGCTGGGGCTAGCTGTGGTGCTCCGGCTCCAGCCGGGTTTTGTCTCCCTCTACTGATCCATCAACATCAGAAGAACGCCTGTGGGCACCTCCAGCCCTGCGTCTCCCCAGATCAGCCCATCAGATGGGGAAGCCAGTCTCCAGCAGGACTGTCCTGCTTTGGGGTACTTTGTGGCTGCTGTCTCCTGGGGATGACCCCACTTGGGGTGGTGTTCTGAGAGCAGAGCACCCAAAAGCCCTGCGCTCCCACCCTGCACTGCTCACCCTGGGGCGATGCTCAGGTTCCCCCCAGTGGAGGTTGTGTCCCAAGGTGTTATTTCTCTGCTGCCAAACCAGCTCCAAAAGAGCATGAAGCTCCAAAGAGGAATGAGCAGATGAGCACAGGGGACTTGGTGCTTCTCAGGGGAAGCCTCATCCAGGGAGATGTGCTTGCCAGCCTGCAAACCTCTGGGCTTTGTTGGGACTGCCCTGCCTGTGTTCATCCCCCTTCTCACCCATGCTTGCCTGCATCCTCCTGTTGTCCCTATGGAAAGTCTTAATTTCCAAAGCTTTCCAGGCCACTTGGGGCCATCCCAGCTCAGGCACCTTCCCTGGAAATGGCCCTTGAGTCTGACTTGTTTCCCTCCACTGCATCCCTTTGGATTTCTCCACTTCCTTCCTCACAAAACTCCCTCTGGTTCATCCTTTCAGATGCACATCCACTGCAAATGCAGAGACTTCCAGACTGGTTCTGTCTTGCCCATGCTGGCTCTGGATGTCACTGGGACAGGAGCTGCATCTTGCCCTTTGCTGAGCTCTTACTGCAACCAGGAGCTGGTCTCAGCTCTGCTCTCTAACCACAGGTACAAATAACAACAGGCAGTGACAGGCACGAGAAGCACCAAAGGGTTGCCTGGGCTCTCTGTTATGAGGACAGACGCAGGCAGTGGCTGAGAACCCAAACCCATCCTCACCTCCCCCAGCATCCCCAGCCTTTACCAGCACTGCAGAAATAACGATCCTCAAGCAGAATTTTAGGCAGCTTTTTAAAGACACCTTAACCATTACAGTGGAAGTGGAGAGGAGGAAGGAACGCTGCAGGTATGGGGAATGTACTACTGAGCCTCCTCACAAGCTGTGAGCCACCCTTCAGTCCCCACCATGGCCCCACAGTGAAGCACAAAGACTGGCAATCGCTTTGTGAGGTGCACAGGCACAAGGGGTGTGGAGAAGCTTTTCACTCCACACAAAGGTGTCATGTAATTAGGGAGCAGGCAGTGCTGAAGCCGCTGCAGCCAGCTGCCATCCTCATCCCAGCGGGAGATGCTCTGGGACTGACAGGCTCCTCCCCGGCTCATTGACCCTGCTCGCGGCTCACAGCCAGCACTGCCCCTGAAGTGCACTTTACTTTCAGAAGCCAGTTACTCCTGGGAGAAGCTGCCTCAACCCACCACTGCTCTAAGCACCCCAGAGAGAGCGGTGAGGTGGAGCAGGGCTCCAGAGAAAGCGGGAATCCTTGGAAAACTGGGGTGCCAGTCGTTAGCTTTGCCAGGCCGGGTTGGGGTACCCCATGTGTGCATACCCCCGGCAGGGATGCGCATTCCACCACGGAGGCCAAGGGGGATGTCGAGGGCTAGGCTCAGCCGGCCTCCCGCT